GCTTTACTGATTAACTGTTTGAACCACAGCAGGAGAAACTGAAGCTCGCAGTAAATGTGTTCTTTATGAAAACAGTCAGTCTGTAGTTCAGACGCACAGCAGAATAAACTCCTTAAACATCCGTCATGCTTCCTTTTCTGGACTTCATGAAGCTTTATTGGAGCCGATCCAGCAGACACAAACTAGACTGTTGTTCTTACGTTTAATATCTAACACATGCTCGTGTTTGTCTAAAGCTACAGCAGATGAAACCAGTTAGTCAGTCCTGCTGGGCTCCCAGTCCCACCGTAAGGGAGGAGCCTCCCCCGTGTCCTCATCGCTTCAGACCTCCGATAAGACGTAAGGACGTCTTCATCTTCACGGCGTTGTCCTCATTCAGTCAGCAGATAAGAGGCAGACTCGTCCTGCTGCTGCTTTGGACAAACACTCGCAGAGCTTCCTGTGTTCCCGTGCCAGGAGGGGAGGAGGAGGAGGAGGAGGAGGAGTGAGGAAGAGGTGCTGGTTGGTGCCGTGTTTCCGGCTTCATCAAACAAAACGGCTCTGTGAAGGACTCGCACTCACACACGTGACAGACTTACAGGAAGTGAGGGCCACGCTGTCTCCCATGAAACGAAAGGGACCCGAACACGGAGAGGTCAAAGTTCACCCTGTCTGACTGAAGCATGATAATGCCTCACTTATTACAGTGAGCGTCTCCAGCTGCGTCACAGTTGACTAATCAGAGATCTCGCAGCGTGATGTTTGGAGGAAACGCCTCAGACCAGGTGGAGGTTGATGGTTGGAGCTCCTCGGAGTCACCGTGAGGCCGTACGACCCACACTGACGAAGTCACGCAGAATCATCTCTGACGAGAAGCCGAGGTCGCTCCTTAAAGCAGGTGGACCCGCTGCAGCTGTCCGACTGCGATCAGCTGATAGGCCGAGCGCGTGCTGTTGGCCTCGCTGGCTGGTATCTGCAGTCATGTGACCTGCTGAACCACATGAAGGCGCTGGTGTTTGGACTGCACGCTGTAATCTGCAGGAGTTTCACTTTGTGCCTCTGAGTCTGTTGTGGTGTGTTTGGAGGAGGGCCAGCACGCCGCCGCCGCCAGCCTCCACGCGGCTCCGCGGCGCCCCGTCTTTTAGGGCTTTGTTTTACACGCAGCTGGGAAACAAAAAGATGTGAGCCGCAGCCTGCAGACGTCTAATCATAGACACGCAGCGGGCGGCTAATTTTAGCTTCAACTTTTTTCTTTTACAGCAGATCTACTTTCAGGATCCACTTCAGCCCAAAGCAGACCGCTGAAATCTGCAGACTCCTGCAGAAACCTCCTCCTCCTCCTCTCCGTGCATTCTTGTGGCGGCTGATCCGCAGGACGCCGACGTTTCAGCTGAAATTATAAAAAGCAGAAGCCTGCAGCCTGGACCCGGCCACGCCCTGCGCCACAAACATGACGTTAAAAATAACTCTGGACAAATGTGCAGCAGATGATGAAGAAGCTGCCGGGGGTCGGTGTGGATGTCAAACCTTCGTTAACGTCTGATCACGTTGTCAGAGAGTGTGTGTGTGTGTGTGTGTGTGTGAGTGTGTGTGTGTGTGTGTGTGTGTGTTTACAGAGGAGTTTTAATGGTTTTCTTTTTCTGTGACTGATGTTCTGATTTGTCATTCATTTTAACTTAGTTTCAGTAATAAAGACCAATGTCACTCCTATTTCAAGCCCAGAGATTAAACACTCACTGCTGTCTGTCCCACCGGAGCTTCCAGTAAAACTTCCTGCGCACAGATCGTTTGGAGAGATGCTGGCGGGAAGCTTCCCTGGTGACTGAAGCCAATCAGAGGACCGGGGAAGCAGGTCTGCAGCCGCTCAGCTTCAGCTGCCGTCTTTAGAGTTACGTTGCTGCATCAACACGTCAGTGAAACAGCAGGAAGTCGGACTGCTGTCAGTCTGCAGTCGATTGGAGTTAAGTTGGCAACTATGTGAAGTTTGCTGATAGACGTGAAACAGACTCAGTGACGTAGTTGCTGCAGTTTTACTGCAGAAAGACACAAA